TGATGCTGCTTCAACAGCAGAAGCCACAACCGACGCTGCCACAGCAGCAGATTCCACAACCGCTGTTGCTACAACAGAAGAAGACACAACCGCTGCTGCTACAACAGCAGAAGCCACAACCGTTGCTCCTACAACAGTAGAAACCACAACCGATGCTGCTACAACAGTAGAAGCCACAACCGCTGTTCCTTCAACAGCAGAAGCCACAACTGATGCTGCTTCAACAGCAGAAGCTACAACCGATGCTGCTACAAAAGCAGAAGCCACAACCGATGCTCTAGAACAGAAGAAGCCACAACCGACGCTGCTACAACAGCAGAAGCCACAACCACTGCTCCTACAAAAGCAGAAGCCACAACCCTCTGTTTCTACAACAGCAGAAGCCACTACGATGATGCTACAACAGCAGAAACCACAAACCGCTGCTCCTACAACAGTAGAAGCCACAACCGATGCTGCTACAACAGCAGTAGCCACAACCACTGCTCCTACAACAGTAGAACAACAAAAGTTGCTGCTACAACAGCAGAAGCCACAACTGATACTGTTACAACAGTAGAAGGCACATCCGATGCTGCTACAACAGCAGAAGCCACAACCGCTGTTGGTTCAACAGCAGAAGCCACAACCGCTGTTGCTTCAACAGCAGAAGCCACAACTGATGCTGCTACAACAGCAGAAGCCACAACCGATGCTGCTACAAAAGCAGAAGCCACAACCGCTGCTCCTACAACAGAAGAAGCTACAACCGATGCTGCTACAACAGAAGCCACAACCGCTGTTGCTTCAACAGCAGAAGCCACAACTGATGCTGCTTCAACAGCAGAAGCCACAACTGATGCTGCTTCAACAGCAGAAGCCACAACCGATGCTGCTACAAACAGCAGAAGCCACAAACCGATGCTGCTACAACAGCAGAAAGCCACAACCGACGCTGCCACAGCAGCAGATGCCACAACCGCTGCTCCTACAACAGAAGCTACAACAGCAGAAGCCAATACTGATGCTGCTACAACAGCAAAAGCAACAACCGATACTGCTACAACAACAGAAGCCATAACTGATGCTCCTACAACAGAAGCAGCCACAATTGATACTGCTACAACAGCAGAAGCCACAACTAATGCTCCTACAACAGCAGAAGCTACAACCGATGCTGCTACAACATCAGAAGCCACAAGTCATGCTGCTACAACAGCTACTGCTACAACAATAGAAGCCACAACCGCTGCTCCTTCAACGGTAGAAGTCACAACCGCTGCTGCTACAACACTAGAAGCCACAACCGCTGCCCTACAACAGCAGAAGCCACAACCGCTGCTCCTACAACAGCAGAAGCCACAATCGCTGCTGCTACAACAGCAGAAGCCACAACTGATGCTTCTACAACAGTAGAAGCTACAACCGCTGCTGCTACAACAGGAAAGGCCACAACCGCTGCTCCTTCAACAGCAGAAGCCACAACTGATGCTCCTACAACAGCAGAAGCCACAGATGCTGCTGCTACAACAGCAGAAGCCACAACTGATGCTCCTACAACAGCAGAATTCAGAACCACTGATGCTACAACAGCAGAAGCCACAACCGCTGCTCCTATAACAGCAGAAGCCACAACTGATGCTCCTACAACAGCAGAAATCAGAACCACTGATGCTACAACAGCAGAACCCACAACCGCTGCTCCTACAACAGCAGAAGCCACAACCGCTGCTCCTACAAACGCAGAAACCACAACTGATGCTCCTACAACAGCAGAAGCCACAACCGATGCTCCTACAACAGCAGAAGCCACAACTGATGCTCCTACAACAGCAGAAGCCACAACCGATGCTCCTAAACAGCAGAAGCCACAACCGATGCTCCTACAACAGCAGAAGCCACACTGATGCTCCTACAGACAGCAGAAGCCACAACTGATGCTCCTACAACAGCAGAAGCCACAACTCCTACAACAGCAGAAGCCACAACTGATGCTCCTACACAGCAGAAGCCACAACTGATGCTCCTACAACAGCAGAAGCCACAACCGATGCTCCTACAACAGCAGAAGCCACAACTGATGCTCCTACAACAGCAGAAGCCACAACCGATGCTCCTACAACAGCAGAAGCCACAACTGATGCTCCTACAACTTCAACAGCAGAAGCCACAACTCCTACAACAGCAGAAGCCACAAGATGCTCCTACAACAGCAGAAGCCACAACCGATGCTCCTACAACAGCAGAAGCCACAACCGATGCTCCTACAACAGCAGAAGCCACAACCGATGCTCCTACAACAGCAGAAGCCACAACCGATGCTCCTACAACAGCAGAAGCCACAACCGATGCCCTACAACAGCAGAAGCCACAACTGACACAGCAGAAGCCACAACCGTTGTTGCTACAACAGCAGAAGCCACAACCGTTGTTGCTACAACAGCAGAAGCCACAATGATGCTACAACAGCATGCTCCTACAACAGCAGAAGCACAACCGAACAACAGCAGAAGCCACAACCGTGCTGCTACACAGCAGAACCTACAACAGCAGAAGCCACAACTGATGCTCCTACAACAGCAGAAGCCACAACTGATGCTCCTACAACAGCAGAAGCCACAACCGATGCTCCTACAACACCAGAAGCCACAACCGATGCTCCTACAACAGCAGAAGCCACAACTGATGCTGCTTCAACAGCAGAAGCCACAACTGATGCTCCTACAACAGCAGAAGCCACAACCGATGCTCCTACAACAGCAGAAGCCACAACCGATGCTCCTACAACAGCAGAAGCCACAACTGATGCTGCAGAAGCCAGCTCCTACAACAGCAGAAGCCACAACTGCTCCTACAACAGCAGAAGCCACAACTGATGCTCCTACAACAGCAGAAGCCACAACTATGCTCCTAAACATGCTCCTACAACAGCAGAAGCCACAACGATGCTCCTACAACAGCAGAAGCCACAACTGATGCTCCTACAACAGCAGAAGCCACAACTGATGCTCCTACAACAGCAGAAGCCACAACCGATGCTCCTACAACAGCAGAAGGATGCTCCTACAACAGCAGAAGCCACAACTGAGCTCCTACAACAGCAGAACTCTTGCTCCTACAACAGCAGAAGCCACAACATGCTGCAGAAGCCACAACCGATGCTCCTACAACAGCAGAAGCCACAACTGATGCTCTACAACAGCAGAAGCCACAACTGATGCCCTACAACAGCAGAAGCCACAACCGATGCTCCTACAACAGCAGAAGCCACAACTGATGCTCCTACAACAGCAGAAGCCACAACCGATACAACAGCAGAAGCCACAACTGATGCTCCTACAACAGCAGAGCCACAACCGATGCTCCTACAACAGCAGAAGCCACAACTGATGCTGGCAGATGCTCCTACAACAGCAGAAGCCACAACCGATGCTCTACAACAGCAGAAGCCACACAACAGCAGAAGCCACAACTGAGCCCTACAACAGCAGAAGCACAACTGATGCTCCTACAACAGCAGAAGCCACAACTGATGCTCCTACAACAGCAGAAGCCACAACTGATGCTCCTACAACAGCAGAAGCCACAACTGATGCTCCTACAACAGCAAGCCACAACGATGCTCCTACAACAGCAGAAGCCACAACCGATGCTCCTACAACAGCAGAAGCCACAACTGATGCTCCTACAACAGCAGATGCTCCTACAAACAGCAGAAGCCACAACCGATGCTCCTACAACAGCAGAAGCCACAACGATGCTCCTACAACAGCAGAACCACAACTGATGCTCCTACAACAGCAGAAGCCACAACCGATGCTACAACAGCAGAAGCCACAACTGCTACAACAGCAGAAGCCACAACTGATGCTCCTACAACAGCAGAAGCCACAACCGATGCTCCTACAACAGCAGAAGCCACAATGCTCCTACAACAGCAAAGCCACAACTTTGCTACAACAGCAGAAGCCACAACCACAACAGCAGAAGCCACAACCGATGCTCCTACAACACAGCCACAACTGATGCTCCTACAACAGCAGAAGCCACAAACGATGCTCCTACAACAGCAGAAGCCACAAGCTCCTGCACAACCCTCCACAACAGCAAGCCACAACTGATGCACCTGCCCACAACAGCAGAGTGATGCTCTACAACAGCAGAAGCCACAACTGATGCCAACAGCAGAAAGCCACAACAAACAGCAGAAGCCACAACTGATGCTCTACAACAGCAGAAGCACAAACTGATCTCAGCACTGATGCCCTACACAGCAGAAGCCACAACTGACAACAAAGCCAAGCTGCTGAGCTGCTTCAACAGCAGAAGCCACAACTGATGCTCCTACAACAGCAGAAGCCACAACGATGCTCTACAACCAGCATGATGCTCCTACAACAGCAGAAAGCCACAACTGATGCTCCAACAGCAGAAGCCACAACTGATCTCCACAACAGCAGAAGCCACAACTGATGCTCCTACAACAGCAGAAGCCACAACTGATGCTCCTACAACAGCAGAAGCCACAACTGATGCTCCACAACAGCAGAACAACCGATGACAACAGCACAGACAGCAGAAGCCACCACCTCCTACAACAGCAGAAGCCACAACTGATGCTCCTACAACAGCAGAAGCCACAACCCCTACAACAGCAGAAGCCACAACTGATGACAACAGCAGAGCCACAACTGATGCTCCTACAACAGCAGAAGCCACAACGATGCTCCTACAACAGCCGATGCTCCTACAACAGCAGAAGCCACAACCGATGCTCCTACAACAGCAGAAGCCACAACTGCATGCTGCTTCAACAGCAGAAGCCACAACTGATGCTCCTACAACAGCAGAAGCCACAACCGATGCTCCTACAACAGCAGAAAGCCACAACCGATGCTCCTACAACAGCAGAAGCCACAACTGATGCTCTCAACAGCAGAAGCCACAACCCTACAACAGCAGAAGCCACAACCGATGCTCTACAACAGCACCACAACTCTCCTACAACAGCAGAAGCAACGATGCTCCTACAACAGCAGCCACAACTGATACAACTCTATGCTGCAGCTCCTACAACAGCAGCCACACACAGCTCCTACAAACAGCAGAAGCCACAACTGATGCTCCTACAACAGCAGAAGCCACAACGATGCTCCTACAACAGCAGAAGCCACAACCGATGCTCCTACAACAGCAGAAGCACAACTGATGCTCCTACAACAGCAGAAGCCACAAAACTGATGCTCCTACAACAGCAGAAGCCACAACCGATGCTCCTACAACAGCAGAAAGCCACAACTGATGCTCCTACAACAGCAGAAGAAACAGCAGAAGCCACAACTGATGCTCCTACAACAGCAGAAGCCACAACTGATGCTCCTACAACAGCAGAGCCACAACTGATGCTCCTACAACAGCAGAAGCCACAACTGTGCTCCTACAACAGCAGAAGCCACAACCGATGCTCTACAACAGCAGAAGCCACAACTGATGCTCCTACAACAGCAGAAGCCACAACTGATGCTCTACAACAGCAGAAGCCACAACTGATGCTCCTACAACAGCAGAAGCCACAACCGATGCTCCTACAACAGCAGAAGCCACAACCGATGCTCCTACAACAGCAGAAGCCACAACTGCTCCTACAACAGCAAAGCCACAACTGAAACAGCAGAAGCCACAACTGATGCTCCTACAACAGCAGAAGCCACAACCGATGCTCCTACAACAGCAGAAGCCACAACGATGCTCCTACAACAGCAGAAGCCACAACTGATGCTGAACAGCAGAAGCCACAACCGATGCTCCTACAACAGCAGAAGCCACAACGATGCTCCTACAACAGCAGAAGCCACAACTGATGCTCCTACAACAGCAGAAGCCACAACTGATGACAACAGCAGAAAGCCACAACCTCCTACAACAGCAGAAGCCACAACCGATGCTCCTACAACAGCAGAAGCCACAACTGATGCTCCTACAACAGCAGAAGCCACAACTGATGCAACAGCAGAAGCCACAACCGATGCTCTACAACAGTCACAACAGCAGAAGCCACAACGATGCTCCTACAACAGCAGAAGCCACAACCGATGCTCCTACAACAGCAGAAGCCACAACTGATGCTCCTACAACAGCAGAAGCCACAACTGATGCTCCTACAACAGCAGAAGCCACAACTGATGCTCCTACAACAGCAGAAGCCACAAACAACAGATGACAACAGCAGAACCACAACGATGCTCCTACAACAGCAGAAGCCACAACTGCTCCTACAAGCAGAACCACAACGATGCTCCTACAACAGCAGAAGCCACAACCGATGCTCCTACAACAGCAGAAGCCACAACCGATGCTCCTACAACAGCAGAAGCCACAACTGATGCTCCTACACAGCAGAAGCCACAACACAACAGCAGATTGCTGCTACAACAGCAGAAGCCACAACTGATGCTCCTACAACAGCAGAAGCCACAACCGTGCTCCTACAACAGCAGATGCTCCTACAACAGCAGAAGCCACAACTTGCTGCTACAACAGCAGAAGCCACAACTGCTACAACAGCAGAAGCCACAACCGATGCTCCTACAACAGCAGAAGCCACAACTGATGCTCCTACAACAGCAGAAGCCACAACTGATGCTCCTACAACAGCAGAAGCCACAACCGATGCTCCTACAACAGAAGCCACAACCGATACAACAGCAGCCACAACTGAAACAGCAGAAGCCACAACTGATGCTCCTACAACAGCAGAAGCCACAACGATGCTCCTACAACAGCAGAAGCCACAACCGATGACAACTGCTCTTCAAACAGCAGAAGCCACAACTGATGCTCCTACAACAGCAGAAGCCACAACCGATGCTCCTACAACAGCAGAACCACAACTGATGCTCCTACAACAGCAGAAGCCACAACTGATGCTCCTACAACAGCAGAAGCCACAACCGATGCTCCTACAACAGCAGAAGCCACATGCTCCTACAACAGCAGAAGCCACAACTGATGCTCCTACAACAGCAGAAGCCACAACTGATGCTCCTACAACAGCAGAAGCCACAACCGATGCTCCTACAACAGCAGAAGCCACAACGATGCTCCTATGCACAACAGCAGAAGCCACAACTGATGCTGCTTCAACAGCAGAAGCCACAACTGATGCTCCTACAACAGCAGAAGCCAGATGCTCCTACAACAGCAGAAGCCACAACCGATGCTCCTACAACAGCAGAAGCCCAGATGCTGCTTCAACAGCAGAAGCCACAACTGATGCACAACAGCAGAAGCCAGATGCTCCTACAACAGCAGAAGCCACAACTGATGCTCCTACAACAGCAGAAGCCACAACTGATGCTCCTACAACAGCAGAAGCCACAACTGATGCTCCTACAACAGCAGAAGCCACAACTGATGATGATGCTCCTACACAGCAGAAGCCACAAGAACAACAGCAGAAGCCACAACTGATGCTCCTACAACAGCAGAAGCCACAACTGATGCTCCTACAACAGCAGAAGCCACAACGATGCTCCTACAACAGCAGAAGCCACAACTGATGCTCCTACAACAGCAGAAGCCACAACTGATGCTCCTACAACAGCAGAGCCACAACGATGCTCCTACAACAGCAGAAGCCACAACTGATGCTCCTACAACAGCAGAAGCCACAACTGATGCTGCATGCTCCTACAGCAGAAGCCAGATGCTGCAGAAGCCACAACGATGCTCCTACAACAGCCACAACCGATGCTCCTACAACAGCAGAAGCCACAACTGATGCTCCTACAACAGCAGAAGCCACAACTGATGCTCCAACAGCAGAAGCCACAACTGATGCTCCTACAACAGCAGAAGCCACAACCGATGCTCTGATGCTCCTA